CACCTTCATGGAACTGTGACGAAGCCAAATTACATTTCATGGATTATGCAATAAATAAAAGTATTATAAATATTTTTTTGACACATATCCTTAATTCAGAGTTAAATCTATTTTTATAAAAGTAAAGTTATTCAGGTTAATATTAAATTGATCTACAAACAAAATTTTATTAAAAAAAATTATTAGGTGTGTTTAGAACATGCACTAAAAGTGCTTTTGTTTTAATAGAATATATGACATAACTTTTTGGGAGATATCAGAAATTAACAATTCGTTCATTATTCAAAAACAGAGAACCACATCTACGATTTTCTTAACCATATGAACCTTTCAGTTATCAAGCTACCAATTAATGAGTTATCAATTTCTTAATAATTAATTTTACAAAAGCAACAAGATTACGAGGGCAAAATTCCATCAAACAAAAGACTAAAATTGAAATGATGATTTGTAAAATAAAAAAGGAATTAATGAATGATTTTTAGGATAAAATCATTAATGAATGATTTTTATGATAAAATCATAAAACCCTAATTAATTCATATAACCAATTAAAATAGTGTTTTGTTTATAAAGAACTCATTATCTATAGAATTTTATCAAGACTCCTTAATCAGAGACACAAAGATCATACAATCAATATTCATTATTCTAGATAAGCATCAATAATGATGACCATGCACTTTATATAAATACGACGTGAGGATACATAGTCTACCATATGATTATGATCGTGGAGGCATAGCCTACCAGAACGATTGATTCGAAGAAGGTATTACTTATCATCCCAGAATAATATAAATACAAACATAAATTAAATCTCACTTTTTTGGTGGAAGAACAAAAAAAGACTATCATGCTGATAACGTGTTGTGAATAGAAAAGAAAGAGAAGAGAATAGAGGAAATTGTTGGGTTTCATTACATGAATAATGAGAAGTATATATAGTATTACAAAGATTTGAGAAGGAAGCTAAAACCTATAAAATAAGGAAATAGAAAATATTTTAAACCTCATTATAATATGAGTCTTATAATGGGCATTCATATTAATTATTCATAACAATTAAACTATTTTCTTTTGATTTTCTACCAATTTATTTTAAAATCAAATTTTCTACAACATCTTCTTGAAGTACGTTAACAAAATGTACTGTTTTATTATAACTTTTTGAGTTAAATATGTTTGAAAAATTGTTGACTGTTTGTGCCTCCTTTCTCGATATCTTTACTGTTGCCCCATAAAAACTTTATAAATTGTATTTATTTTAAATTCTTTCAAGTGCTAAATTATCCAATCAAGACTTAGTACTTTTAAAACTTGTAATATTCTACTAAATATTCACAAAGTTACCAAGAGCTAATAGCTCAACTGGTAAAGATTTCAGACAAAACTTTTGAGACGAAACTAATATTACATGTTGTGGTTCGGGCGTGGGAATTACATATTTCGGCCCAAAACCTCCTAGTAATCCAAAACAAAAACAAAACAAAAAAATCACAAAATTTAACTTTGTCTTTTTGTTCATGCGATGATTGATTTTCTAAAAGTTACCAAAAAAAAAACTTTACTTTTGTCTTATAAATCACCATTTATTATTTTTCAAGGCAAATTCGCTACAGTAAATTTTTAAAAAAATACATTATAAATTTAAAGTCTCTAACAATCACCTTTCTGTCAGAGATAGAAACTTACAGATGAAAATAATTATAGAAAGACACATTTACTAAAATTTTAAATTAAGGTTAAACTCTATCTGTATTATGATATATATTAAAATCATTTAAAATCTCTACTCAAGTATCACCATTTGTATGCTTATTATACTCATGTTTAACCTCAATAATATTATCAGTTTTTCATTTGTAATATCATATCTAAATCTTTAATTTATTGTTATTTTTATTGTTTTTCAGTATCTTTTAGTTTAATTTTAAGGTATTTTATTTTATTTTAATGATGAGACTTTATAAACTTTTATTGTATTTTAAAATCCTTAAAATTTTAGTTTATCCAATCAAGATTTATTACTTTAGAAACCTGTAAATCTTTTCTAAAAAATTACAACAACTAATTTGCAACTTTTTTTTTCTGCGATGTCTTATTTATAAAGTAACCAAAATAAAATCGTACTTTTTTTTAATTGCTACCAATCACTTTAAAGTCAAATTGTCTACAACATTTTCTTAAATTACATTAACACAATATACTCTTTTATTACATTAGATGTATATATGTTTGAAAGATTGTTGATTGCTTGTGGCTCATTTCCCTCTATCATATTGTTGTCCCATCTAAGATTTTATAAATTTGAATTTATTTAAAACCCATCAAATTGTACTAGACATTTACAAAGATTTACTTTCTCTTTTTGTCCCTATGATGGTTTATTTTTTACTTTTTATTTATTTTTAAAATCTTTCAAGATATTATCTAATCAAGGTTTAAAAATTAATTTTATCAAATTATTTATAATCTTATATCTAAATCGTTTATTATTGGCTATTTTTACAGTCTTTATTAGATCAGATTTTTTTAAACTATAAGAGTTTCAAGAATTTCTTTAATTCTAAAATCTTTAAAGTTCTAATATATTCAATTAAGGGTTTAATACATTTAAAAGACTTAACCTTCTCTTGCCAAATTCTACTATTGACTTTTCTCCCTATGATCGATGGTTTTATTTTTGAAAAGCCAACAAAATTAAACTATTCAAATCTTTGATCGTTGATGAATTTCTTAATTACCCAAAACTCTTTACAAATTTTAAAGATTTTAACAAATTCTATGCAAATATTGACAGATCTTTTGTATATTAAAATTGACCAACTGTATCTAAATCCAACTATATCTATGGAAACTTTGTTTGATTTATTAAATAAGGGTTCAAAATTACCATTGAAGTAAGTACTTTGAGTTTTCTTTTGAAAATATAGTCTCAAGTTTAGAAAGTGTTTTGATATTATGTTAAGTTTCATCTCTAAAATAGTCATTATTTGTATACCATGTTAAGTTTCATCTCTTTTAAGCCGTCATTTCTAAAACGTTGACAGAGTTGAGACAAGGTGTCTGGCACCATACATGCCTCCGTCGCCTGAACAAGACAGAAGTTCTGATAGTGAGATTGATGGGAAGAAATGAGAGGATACCGTAGAGGATCTCATCTGGCATATAGTTAATGATCACAGATCACTGTGCTCTACAATGCCCAAACGATGATCTTCCGTAAGTTATTCTGGTTTATCCCTTATAGAATCCAATCCTGGAGGCTCACTTGAATTCAAAGAAACATTACCCTTTTCATCATAAGAACCAAGAGACTTTATGTCCTTCTCTACATCCTTTAAACCACCAAACCGTTATGTTCATATCCCAAGGAAACCCACATCGGAAACCCAGCGAAGGTACTTTAGAAACTAGCAGTAAGTACCTGAGAAGTTAAACTGTCCACCTCCACAAGAATCATTTCCAATTTACAGTAGATTCTATCATACCATGCTATTCCTTTAGATTTTGTATTCATAGTTCACTAACACAACGACATTACTACTGTGAAGAAAAACCAAATCCCAAGTAAATATCTTTGTGAAACAAGATCATCATATTCATAGATTGAATATATAATCCTAAATGCAATGATAACAAGAAGATTTTCATATTAAAAAAAGCAATGCCTCAACTTCGAAACAACTTCTATTCAGAGATGCTTTATCCCAGAAAAGATGTAGAAAATCTAGGGAAAAAGAAAGAATCATAGCAGTTTGATCTGATAAGGTTGGAATTTTTTTTGTTATAAAGACCAGACAATTCTACCGAAGTCGTGATCAAAGCACGATAACAGCAGAAAAAAAAATACTCTTAAATCGCTGTATTAACCTTTAGAAGACTCTTTTGTTGCGGTTTAATTCTACAAAAGCATGAGATAGCTTCTCAAGACTCTTGTGTTGCAATTTTGGAATATCCAGCAAAGTCACTGAAGCGCTCTCTCCAGTCAAATCTGTTACAGGTTTCGTAATGAGGGTCATACTATAAGAGATAGCACAATCTTGCAAGATTGAAACCGTGATCCGTGATCGTTAAAACCTTTAGTTTCTCTATTATCTAGCTATGAAGCTTGGTAATGCATAGCTTGACGATGAGAGATTCAGAATTTAAGTTCTTCAACACTAGGCTTCTTCCAACAAAACAGAACCTTGTGGATCTTTTGATTACAAATTAAATTGTTCAAGGTTCGAGTACTAGCTCAAGTCAAAAAAAATTCTCAGGGAATATACTTTTTTGTTAATGGATACAACTCTGCTTGACTGCAAAGACAAATGTTATCATGTACCCTTGTGGTTAGATTTGAATATATGGGTAAGAATCTAAACTAGTGAAAAGTTAGAAGCCAGGAAAAGATGAACGAAAAAGATATAAGAAAGTAAAAAAAAAATCCTAATTCACAACCCAAATTAAAATAACATAGAAGAAAAAAAACCATCAAACAAAGGAAAGAGAGAGCGGCTTCGAGAAGTCTTGACGAAGAACAACCAGAGTCTTCTTTTTGGTCCTCTCCCGTCTTTTTCTCACTTTTTTCTCTTCAATATTAGAAAAAATGTTGATTTCTTGGGTTGTTTGGCCTGATTTGGAAGCCCAACTATCTGGACAAAAAAGTCTGATCCAAAATGCCAACCAGTTTTATTTTATCAATGCCTTAAAATTTTTTTTAAAAAACATCCAAAAAGCAAAAAAAATACTTAAACACAAAGGAAATGATATAAAAAAAGTCCAAATCATCACTCAAAAGATCCACCATATTTGACAATCATAGAGACAAATCTTGTTGTGGTTTACAACTTTATTTGATCAATGATGCCTTGTTCAAAAATATCATAAAATAACCCAAAAAAAAGTACCCCACAAGATCCACAACATCCGAAAAGCAAAAAAAAAAAAAGTAAAATGATAAGAAAATACAAGAAAAATGATTATTTAAAAAAAATAAAATAAAAGGTCCAAAATCAGCTAAAAGAACCACGACATTTTTCAGAATCACAGAGACAAATCTTGCTGCCTTTAGAAACCTTAGTCCCATCTTCTTCTTCAACCTCTTGAGACATTCCATAATCGTACCTCAATTCAGTCAATGGAGGAATATGCCTCATAGCGAAAAAGGCAATACGAATACACGGCTCACGATTCTCTTCACTCTCAATAGGCTGCCACATCACATTTGGGGAGCAGCTATGGTTCATGAACCGACTCACATTCCCATTCCTTCTTGCACTGATCAACAATCGCGACTTGATGTTATAAACCTCAGAGACTTGTTCCCAACAATCTTCTCCCACAAGTTCCGGTTCGCAGTTCCACCTGAACGGGTTAAAAAAACGAGAAGTGTCGAACACGTACTCATCGTCCTCTTCTACTTCTTCTATGATCTTACGCATACCAGTGAACTCGCAGATGAAAGTTCCAGCTCGGATCGGCTCCAACGAACGTAATCCCCAGCCACACTTCTCTGTCTTAAACACTTCGACCCGGATTTTCAAATAATTCTGAGTTATCCTTAGTTTGCATTCGAGAAGACAAGCACATGAATCACCACATTCGTAAACCATCGGTTTCCGATATACTAAAATTTGGTCTAGGTATGGTGATTCCCCACCATTTTTCATGATGCAATAGCATTTTGGATCTTCATGGATGGAACATGGTCGGCCATAGCAATCGCTGCAGCCGATAGATCTATGATGCAGATCAAGCGTCCTACTCATGAAAAGCTGACTGTTTCCATAGCTAAAATCTCCGGGTGTCTCCTTGTTGTTTTCATCGATTTCATTCACTAGCGGAACTGGTGATGATGCCTCGCGTCCTTGAGAAATATCTGCAAGTATTAAACCCTTTCTTGAATTATCCGAGCTACACTTCCTCCATCGTTCTGCTGACTTCCAGTTCATGTAGCCAAAAGGTTGACCTGGTTTCCTCACCAATTTGAATTTGTACTCTTCGAAACCAGACTTTCCTATCGCTGTCCAGTAATCAGACACAATGTAGAGCCCGTCGTAAATATAAATTTTTTTCTTCTTGTCATTGGGGTCTTCTTCGCCTCTGATCACTCTAACCTCATTCCCTTTATTTTTACTTGCTTCCAATGCAAGGTTTCCTCTCACAAGTTTCTGATCAACAGCCTGCCCATTCTTATCTGTTCCACCATGTCCAGTGTATACCAAAGATTCAATTTCCTCTGTTTCATCACTGTAGTGTCCTGATGTTACGACACTCGTAGCTATAGGGCCTTCTGTTGCGCCGTCTTTAACCGTCAGGTAGTCGATGCCAGCGACCATCTGCATGTGAAGCCCAACTAGACACATCTCACCCCAGAAGTAGAATATATCGCCTACTTCAACTCCAGGAACCGGGCCGATTCTTTTCCTTGTATTGGTCCTAACACCCAAGTTCCTACAATTGGTAAGTGCTGTTGTAAGCACGCTTTTTCCACAGTTTAGTTGGCATAACCGGCGTCTAAGTGATTCAAACCGCATCAGAACTAAATCAACTACCTCTTGGTTTCCATTTTTTTTCTCTGCTTCCATTATACCCGAGTTAAAATTCGGGTTTGATATAACCACTCTGCTATTGGCAGCATAAGTTTTCTGCTTCTTCCGGCTTCCCTTCACGTTTTTCGAACCCTTTGGTCGGCCACGTCCTTTTTTGATAACACCAATACTAGGACCAGCATCAGAAGGCAAAAAATCTTTGTTGGAGTCATTGAATGGTGTAATGGTTTGAACTGGCATTACCATCACGGGAAGAGGTGTTGCTGTATTATGGGTTTCATCGCTGACACTACCAGATTCTGAGAATGGTATATCCATTAGAAGAGGTGTGTTCATCCGAGGAACATATGCTGTTGCATTCTGGGTTTCATCATTCACACCACCAAATTCCGGAAATGGTATATCTGTTAGAAATGATGAATCCATTGGAGGAAAAGGTATTGTTGTGTTATGTGCTTCATCACTGACACCACCAGATTCTGTAATATCCATTAAAAATGGTGTGTCCATCAGAGGTGTTGGTGACGATGTGCCTTCAATCTGATTATGATCATCGTCAAAACTTTTGAGCAGTTCAGCCTCAGTTGGATACAACGACTTATCCATTGCAACTAAAAAAAAGTCATATCAAAACAATGATGAAAAGTTAGTTACCATCAAACTACCGTGAAGTTCATGAGAAGAAAAATAGATATGAGAAACTAAATATATGCAATGAATAATCATAATAAAAGGCATCAAGTAGAGGAAATTTTTTCAAAACCAAACGATAAAGATGAAATTTAGATGGATTTTTGAATTCATAAAAACCTATATACAGTGATATGTAGAATATACATAACAATTTTATTCATTTTCTATGTTGTACAAGCAATCAATTTTTATTTGCTTAAACTCTAGGGTTAAAAAAACAAACCTCTAGGGTTGCCAGATAAAGAATGCTTGTTATAACCTTCTTGTACTCTATTATTACAAATGCATCAAATTGTTAAAAAAAACAACCCCAATAGTTATAAAACTACGCCACTATAGCCAAACATGAACTATCTAAAACAACCAAACAAATCTCTATTTATTTTTCTTCTGATAAGATTAAAAATATAGTAGTTCAAAACATTTGGGTTTTGTGCATGGTTTCTATGGACATCATGAAAACTTTGTAGAGAATTTCTATTAGTTTTCAATTTTTTTTTTTTTTGTAAATTTTAAACCGAGAGACCGCATATATGGTGTTTGGTGAGAAGCCCTAGTATAAAAAAACAACAATGATCAAATGACCATTTTTTTTACTGTTTAAAACATAAACTATTTATTATCGCTTAAAGCATCGTTTGAGAAATAAAATTATCTTCATCATAATTTGATAACTGCTTCAAGAAAATGATTATCAAATCTAAGTAAATAATTAGAAATATAAAATCACAACACAAACAACAACAATATTTTACGTTAGGAAAAAAAAAAGTAGCCTCATTTTATAGTTAGATTCTCTTCATCATACATTGATACCTACTTAGAGAAAGGATTATCAAAACTGAATAGCATTTCAAATATATAAAATCACAACAAAACAATATATATATATATATTCAATCTTAATTAACTTCGAAAACATATAGAAGATTAGAAATGTTCAATCTACTTTTTGTCAATATTTAAAAGAGAGCATACTACATTAAAACGTATAACAATATGTTTAGATTTGAATTCTAATCATCAATATTGTACTAAGGATCCATGCCTTTTTGAAAGAAAAAAAAATAAAAAAATAAAAAAATAACACTCATAAACAAAGATAAACTTTTAATCCAAGATTATTGGATCAAACTTTTCAAAGAAAAATAAAACTAATAAAACAGATCTGAAAACATATTATTCAATCATACTTTTAAAATTCAGATAAATAAAAGTTAATCTCAATTCTAACAATAAAAACGCATGCATGAGACAATTATAAACAAAAAAAGAACAAGAATGAAAGAAATCATACTTATTGGCAACACAAATTCATGGAATATATATATATATATATATATATATATATATATATATTATAAAGAAGCAACAAAAAATTGAGAGTACCTTTTGAAGAACGCGAAATGAAAATATGAATGGAAAGTGATTGGAGTAATAGTATACAACAATCTTTTAGTATTTGGTAGTGAGTACAAAAAGACAAAGAGAAGAACGCTATTTAAATTGCATTTTATGAGCATCATGTGTTGTTTTTTACATTAAAAAATAGGCCGTTAGATCAAGTAAAACTAATCTTCACCATCCAAATTTTAATAATAAAAAACTCTAGATTTTTTTTTTATCTATTCAATGTATCTAGATAAGACAGTGATATTATCCTTTAATATTGTTTACCAATTTTGTATAAAATATTAATAAACAGAAATAGAAAAAAATCTTTGTCTTCCAAATCTAGATTTTATATTTTCTGCATATCTATAATTAATTCAACTTTTTGAAATTTTGAATGGGTTGAAATAAAAATTTACCAAAAGTATCAAATAATATGAGTTGTATATTTGTATGTATATTCTTATCTTCCAGATATTTTCTTTATAAAGATTATATAAACAATCTTTTCTCTTTTTTTTTTAATATGAGTTGAAAAGCATTCTTTATACGGTTGTCTCATAGTTATACCAGATTTTAATAGATTGTATTTTCATTAAAATTTAGATAAAAACTAAAACGAGAATGAAGCACAAAAAAAAAAAGGAATTAAAACAAATTATGGTTGAGTAGAGATTATCTTCTATTGAAAAATCTTCCTTTACAAGCTCACAAAGCCACTCATTTTTTGCTTTTGTGTCACACCATTACGATTTGTGATTGTAAATGATCTTTGAGTATAAAAGCGTACTCGTTGCAGCTCTTTCTCTAGTCATGGGTTTGTTTTTAAGCATAAATTCCAGTCTAATATAATATAGTCCATATAATTTTGATTCACCAAAATATTTTCATGATCTTCTTTCCTTGAGCATTTTTTACTTTAGGAAACATAATAGACAAACCCTAGACATTTTTCCACCTACATGTCAGTGTCTTGGTTTTAGTGAATAGGTATTTGTTTTTTAAATCTCAGAATACAACTATATATATTGAAATCTAACAAAATAGATATACCATAAAACTTAAGAAAAAATCTCAATACGTATGCATTGCCATAGTAAAAATAACTCCATGCATACTTGATGTCTATAAGAAACTTAAAGTAAAATGTATTATCCAGCTTGTACAGCATTTATAAGTGAAAGTTCTTCATCTGCTTTTTAGCAGACTTTGGATCTGCATATATATAACACATAACATGAATTCTGACCCTCAGTAACAAAGTATTATTGTATTATAAATACTTAAGTCAACTAAATTAATTGATTTGATTATCTTAAATTTCAATGAAGTAAAGCAAAAGGAACAGAGATATCTACAAGGCATCATTGTATTATAAATACTTATCATATGCGAGCCAACTATATAAATTGATTTGAACATCTTGAAAATCAATGAAGTAAATCAGAAGGAGCCGGGACTAAACATATTAACAAATATGTTATATGAATTAAGCAATTGAAAAAAAAATTAACTCATTTGGGATAATTAAGGTCAAAAAACGAGTCAGTATCATATCTGATTATGTACACCATTTATACTAATACGAAGAGCATCATATCTCTAAAGGAGATTAATATCCACAGCCTCCACAAACTGCATGAGCACCAGAACTACCTCAGCAGTAGATAATCCTGGAAAAAGCACAAAACATTCGTGTTATATTTTCTCTTCAGAAGTTTAACATAAAGAACCAAGGAAACTAATCAATTTTTGACACAAAAGAAGGAAAACATAGCCTTCTACAGTACTATAGTTTCAAACAAAGATAATCAACAATCAGTTATTTTCTTTCAAGTGAATCAGCGCCTACACTATTGTTACCAAAAAAAAGAAAAGAATCAGTGCCTACACTAGTTTTTAAGCAAAAATTATTAAATCAAATAATAAGCCCTTCTGTTTGATGAATAATTTTTGCTTCGAAGCTAGTGTATAGGAGCCCGCTGATTCAATCAAATAATAAACCCTAAAAATAATAATAAAAAAATATAATAAAAAAAGTACTATGAATCTCACCATCATTTTCAACATATTGAAATTACAGTTACAGTTACATTTCTACTAACGGGAATCAGTCAATGTTTCCCCCCAACCTTATTTTATACCTACCATCTTCTCTTATGGAGAAGCTCTCTAATCACCAACGTAAAACGTCTAATTTTGCTAAAACGTTTTCTGTTTTATTAAGTTTACTTAATTGTTAGCTCCTGTATTGGCGAGATATTGGAAGCAATATGTGGAGGCACAGATGGCTGTAAACAACGATAATGCTACAAAACAGATATTTAGCTGTTGTTTTTCGACCTGCCTTCAAGTTTCCTCTTTGGTATGAGATGCTTTCCTTTTTTCATTCGTTGATAAGAGTCAATACATGATCTTTCCATCTCACTGTTTCATATGCTTAGCTACAACTGCAAGTCTTTCCATCTCCTTGAATATAATTCAAACATCCTATTCTCGTATGCAATGTTACATTTGGTTCATCAGAAAGGTCTACCACAAAAAAGGAGCAGAGGGTCAAGAGGAGACCACAAAGGCTTTTGAGTTTATGCTTAGTTATATTGATATCGCTTCGCTACAGAAGTTTTGGCTCTATTGTGTTCTTTTTTTTTCCTTTTTTCTTTTCATTTTAGTTTTGTGTACATGTCCCATAAATAGATGGAAATATTTCGCTAATAGTTCTGTGTAGTAAAAGATATGAGTTGTTCGATTTAATTCGAAATATAGTTGCTAACAATAAAAAAAATTGCAAATTACTAGAGCTTCTCTGCGTTCTAATTAACTGTAGTCACGTCCGTCTCTGGTAGTTCTTCGTCTTGACAGACTGTATTTGTATTTATCCATCTCATGATCTTTACTTTACACAGGTATAACGGATATGCGTGTGTACTTCGACTAAGTAGATGGAAGCACTTCGTGTTTCAAATTGTGGTTTTCACATGGCTTGGAAATAATAGAAAACTCTGTCCAATCCTATCTAGCTCTATTCAAACTTCTTGTAGTTTCTTATAAATGGCGTTGAAAAGAGTAATGCGTCGTTGAATCATTGTTGAGTCAAACTTTCATTTTATAGTTTCTTATACTGTTGATTCCCTTGTTCGTTTTCACATGTCATGACATTTCTTCATTGTAACAATGGAGTGGTTTTTGACTTATCTCCCTATGCACAGTTATCACATATATTTATACTACGGTAAAAGTCCATGATGGGATTCTCTTTGGCTGATAGTGTGTCAGTCCTAGGAGAAATGTTAAAAAGGGTATTGTTATCCTCAGCAATAGCAAGCACCTTCTTATACTTTGCATCTATACCACATAAGATAACCAGGGTAACCTTTTGTTTTACAAATTCTGTATGGTTTCTTGAACTTCTTTCGCTATGTTTGGTTGGTGGATGATCTAATCTATCCTATGAACAGGCCAAAGGACTTGTAAATGAGTATCAACCAAAATTTAACGGTGCCAGAGCCGTATATAGGGTA